AACCTCTCACCATCTCCCCCTCACCCAGGTGAAATCAACCCAGAGATCTTCAGATGAAAAGCCTTTGTGGTTTCCATCTGGTCCTGAAGCAGCAGCTGTTGGTCCATTATGAATGGAAGCCTCAACGTGTTTATCGCATGCACAGACTCTCCTGATAGAGCGCTGTGTTTTGCTTTGTGTAAAAATTCAGAAACCATAAAAAAAAAAAAGTCCCACAACAAAAGTGCCCAGCGTGGCATTCCAGTGAGCTAATGCTGAGTTGGTGTTTGCATGTGTGTGTTGGGGGTTGTTCATTCCAAGAGTTTGACTTGGTTAATCCTCCCTCATCTGCTCGTATGCACACCTTGGCTCACAAATCCACCCTGATTTCAAATTCATTTAAAGGCGTCTCTAAGTAGCAGAAAGTGGTTTGTTACCAGGAGCAGATGGTGGCAAAGTTTGCTTTCCAAGAACTTTGGCCATCTTTGGGTTTAAGACAAGACAAGAGGTTGTAATACGTGCTCAGGTTAGAATTACCTGGACATAACAGCGACAGGGCTAGCTGGTTAGCAGCTTTGTTTTCTACCACCTACATAGCAAATCTGACAAATATCGCCCTCGGAGACTTAGATATGACGATATGACAATAAAATCAAGGCTGGATAAGCAAGTTTGTTTCCAGGAAGATAAATCTGAACCCCACCATGATTGCCTGATTGGCCACAACATCCCCAGCTGCTCCTGGTGCCAACAGCTTTTGACTGTTGAGGTCTGGAAAAGTTTGAAGTTTGTACAACAATGTTGATACCAATTTAATTTGGGATACATCACGCTGATCATAAGGAGAAGTGGTATTGATTGATTTCAGACAAAATCATGAGCTGACGCAGAATCGTGATAAACTGTAGGCGGCCGTCCGAGTGTCTGAGATGAACGGACAGGTGAAAAGAAAAGAGCCTCTTGTGGTTATTAGAGAAACTGCAACTTAAAGCATTTCATCATTGTTTTTTCCTTTTTGCGCTCGACAGTTGCTGGGTTTAAATGACATCATTGTCCCTAAACCTTAATCTGCATGTTATGTGAAACTCCAGTTGTTTTTTCAGCATTCCCCTGCACCAGTGTCACTAACGCAGAATACTATATTTATGGGACTTGGCAGTGACTTGAATCCTGATTTTGATGCGTATTTCTTTGTGTAATTGAGAGCTGCTGTCATCTGCTGGAACTCTGCCACCTCTTGTAAAAAACACTGAGGAGGAAAATGTATTGGTACCATCTGTGTGGAGCATGATATAACTTGTTTATGTAATTCACGTTACGACAATGGCCAGTGCAGTGCAAGTCATTTAGAGTTACATGAGCAGGTTTGCTCGCTGGAGACAATAAAGAGTTTGTGGACGTTTCAGATCAAGAACACTCTTCTCTCAAACACAATAAAAATGTACAGAGTGTGATCAAAACAGAAAAGATCTGAGTTGAAGCTACAAACTTTCCTCAGATGCCCGAGATGAGATGAAGGGAACTGGGGAACTGGGGAACTTCAACAGGAAAAACAACTATACTGTACTTATACACTATAATTATAATGACTTATTACATAGCAAATGAGCCATTGCAATGTAAACACTTACGTTAGTTCAGAACACCACAGCCAAACATCAGGATCAAATATATTTAAAAGCCCAATTAAAGCCAACTGTTTTATGTTTTTTATTTTCTGGATCATTATGAGTCTGGCTCAATATCTTGATGTCCCAACCAACAGTTATCTGGTCGGTAAAAGCAAAACTTTGTGGTTCTGTACCTTAATACAAATTTCTACACTAAGCACTAAAATTAAAAATCCAGCTTTGGAAGGGATCAATATTTGTGAAGGGGGCTCGCTTCATATGTTTAGAGAGGAACTAGTGCTGGCAAAAAATGAATGAGGAACTTACAAACCAAGTTTACACTTACAACCTCCTGGAAATAACCAGAATATTCCTGCAGCGCATGCAGACAAAAGCTGTCACCTTGTCCTACCTGATGCCAACTAACTGCAGCCATGTAAAGAAAGTATTAAAACCTTTAATCGTGTTGTACTCGTTACAGTTCCCATACAATCTGAAACGAAGACAGCTGGGAAAGAGAGAAAGAGAATGACCTATATTGTCTGAGTCTGTATTATTCAGCTATCAGGCCACATAATCACACCTGGTTCTCACTCTTTGTTGATTTTGGTGTAGACTGACTCAGTGGAAGTAGACCGTGGATATAAAACTCTCCTCCCCTTCTGCTGTCTACCTGATACTGTTTTCTTTACTCGGGGAAACACCTCCGAGCTGCAAACTACATGATGAAAACGGTTTGGACCAATATTTGAATTGTGCAATCACACAGCTGATAGGAAATGTATTTGTAAAGAAACCAGTCATTTTAATGACAGTGCTCTCCTCCCACATGTGCAAATGTCCTACCAACCAAAGTGCTCTACCAAAAACGTTCTGGGTCCGTTGTTCTTCTAAACATAGCTCCACCACACTAGAATCAAAAGCCAAGCTAACCAGTCCTAATGCTAAACTAAGCTAATTTCCGTACTCCAGCTCTGTCTGCAAGAAACTTTCTATATTTTCATCTCACTCACTGCAAGAAAACAAAACAAGCACACTCCCCTAGAAAAATCTTGAATCTTTCATTTTCACCTCTGCCCCTCAGATGGACTTTGCATCACACTGCTACGAGGACAGAGTCATTTTGTGAGGGATGCGTTGTTTGAAATACTCAGACTGTTGCTCATTGGTAGCTGTTACTTGTTTCTGGGCCAAAGTCACAAATATAACCTGCAGGTTCTGTCACCCAACACAATAAAAGACAGCTTCTCTGTCACCCAACACAATAAAAGCTTAAATATGAGGGTAAAGGCCAAAAACCGCTGACATTTGACCAATCCAGTCACAGCCTTGAATCTAATTGGCCACCGTACGTAATACATCTGCATGTAGTAACATAAATTACAGTTTCCTATCCAGAAATGAGTAGTGTCACCTTCCTATAAAGCCTTTCCCTTTTCTCTTTCATTACACTCAGATTTTATTAGAGCTCCTTTTTTCATGTCCAGAGAGCCTGCGGAAATCTGACAGCCATTACACAGGAAAGCACCGCTAAATTCTTTACTGTTATTAGTGGTCGTAATTACAGAAATGATCTCAAACTGACTCACAAAGAGTTATTTTCTGAACAAAGGGACCGAGGTGGGTCACAAACCACCGGTGGGTCCGGCAGGGGAGCTTCATTCTTCTGTGTCGCACACCCTGAACCCCCTTTCTTTCAAACATTTTAATGAAGTAGTTTTCCTTATGGGGGACTTTGTTTCTGAGGGGTTACACGAGTAGATTGATTAATCTCATGCCTGTGCATTAACTACAGGGGTGTAGTGAGGAGGTGGTCAGCCTAACTGCAAACAGATTGGCTCAGTTCAAGGTTCAAACTTCCAACTCCAGCACCTGCAAAGCTCGTTAAACATCGTGCTGTATGTTGTTTGTTTAATCTGTACAAATACAGAAATGTATAAAAAAAAACCTGGAATGTATTTGTCTGGCAGAACTTCTGAGCAGCGCTCCAGCTGTGACTCCGCCCACAAACCCCCAATATTTAGAGGTTTACTTTCTACAGTGCTGGATATTCTAGAGTTTTTTTCCCCTTAATCTCACTCAAATCAAGCCATGTGATTTTTAAAATTTCTGAAGAATTGAATGTAAGTTTTCTCTGCTGCCAAATGTGGTTTCTCTCCAGGAATAGGTGGTGGTGATGTCTGGCTACGAGATTCAGCCATTGTTTAAACACGAGATCGTGATACTACTGCCTCTAAGCTGCCATCTTGTGATTGTGACATCAGTTGGAGCCAGAATCTGCACGAAGGTGATCATAGAGTGGAGCCGCATCTTTAATAGCCGCTCCTTCAAAGCTGTGTCTTGATCCAGGGGCCGCATCCTTCGGAGGCTGCATTTTAAGACCCACTGACTGTCCCATTTTGAAGGCTCCTTTAAATTCCATCCCCAAGAGACGAAGGCTCCGATGGGTTGAACCTTCCTGACCGAACCTATCCCAGGATTCATCGGGCTTCAGTGACTAACCGTTATTCAAAGAGGTATTGGCGCGTTCAAGCAACAAGACGACCGATGTTGCTCAAGCTGGTGACATCTACCTCGGAAAGCCACATTAGACCAGACCGTCTTATTTCGGTTCCGCCTTCTTGGTTGACACAATCATGGGGTCTATGGCCTGTAGTGCAGCCAGCCACCAGGGGGAGATCAAGAGGTTTTGGCTTCACTTTTGCTATAGTCGTCCATCTTTACACACATTCAATGAGCTGAATCTTGCCATTTGTGTGCTAGTCTGATAAGTAAACATCTGTTAATGCTAAAGATGGCTGTGTAGCAATAGTTCAAACTTAGAAATACCTTTAAATACTCTATTGGTTGACTTCTTAGGCTTTAAATCTTATCTGAAGCTACATTATGTTCTTTTACATTAAAAAAAGAAAATACTTATATTTTAAAAAGCAGAATTTCAATATTTCTAAATTATTGGTCAGGTCTCTGTTAATCTGTGGTGAAATATTAAAATCACTTCCTTTTAATTCACATATAGACAATAATGACTAGTCTATGTTATTATCCTTATAAAAAGGATTTAGACAGACTAACAATGGCGGTTTACTTGTTACTGTAGGTGATTGTGTTCCTGTAATACTCTTATAATAATCCCAGAATATTTCCATAGGTGCTGGAGTGTGTCTGTGCTGGGATCACTAGATCTGTCCTGGAAAACCTCCATCTTGGATTTCTTGGTCTTTATGAAATCAGAAGGTTAAAAAAAAAACCAAAGCCGCCATCACCATCATCATCATCATCATCATCATCATCTGTTTTGAGTTGACTGGCACGCGGCGGAGAAGGGGTTAAGAGTCACGTGGTCGCGGTTGGTATTGTCAGCCCCGGGCTGTTGAGGAAAAAGCGCATGTGGAAGAAAAAAAAAAGTGAGCAGAGAACAAAGAAATCAGAGTCTATTTAAAGAGGAGCAGCCCGTGACTCCCGCACTGCGCACCGCACACACCGCTGCGCCAAACCCAGCCTGCCTGTGCACCGCCTCGGCTCCAGACGGCGGAGAGGATGCGGACTTCTCTGGTCGTGTGCTGCTGCGTCTTTGCGCTGCAATGCCTCCCGAGCACGCTCTGCCTCCCGGTGCGAGGGTCCAGCCGGTACAAGGTGGCACCGGTGAGTTTGTTTCTGTCGCTTCAACCGGAGGCAAAGTCAGAAAAACTTTCCTCTGCAGCAGGTTTGGAGACTTTTGCGGAGGTTTTGACGCAGAACGAGACGCTTCGGTTTGACTTTGGCACTATTGCACGAATGAAAAAAAACACTTGTGATTCTTTGCATTTTTAACTTTTCTGCAGTGTTGACTTATACATTATTTACCCTCTGCACGCACACATGCACATGCGCACGCACACACTCATGCACAACATTTGTTTTCTTGTTCAGACCGTGGAGCAGAATGAGTCACTTTGCTCCAAAATAAATATCATCCACTTGACTGCATGCAGAATTAGTTTCAGGGTTTAAGTAAACATCCCCTTGTCTGCAGCTACAAGTGCCCTCCTAACTCCATTCACGGGCGCGCACACGCACGCCCTCTTCTTCGGAATCATCAGCACCAATGACACTTATGTTGTAATTAAGAAAATGGCTATTTTACGCGCCCACAGGAGCTGACCTGTCACTGTAATTAGCCCGGGAGCTGCTCTTACTTTGGGGAAATGACTATCATCACTATTTATTTGGATTTTTTTGTGTGTGTTCAGCAGCTCTGCAGGCTCTCGTGACTTAGCAACACAATCTGACGCGCTCTGCTGTCCGTGCGCGCAGGATGACAGCACAGTGTTTTGGTGTTTGACCATGGTCTGATCTCTGGGGAGGAGAGAGAGAGAGAAAATAAATGCTGCTGAGTTCCCCTGTCTGCGGGGCAGGAAGCTGTAATAACAGGTCTTAAAGGCATTTTGTCAACAACACCATAAAAGACAGGGGTCCTCCATATGGACCCGTCATGACGGCGTCAGTGGCACAAATACATATTTCTTTATGACTTTCTAGACTCACTGTTACTGCTGTGTTGTACCTGTGTGTGCACAAACCTTTTGTTTCATACTTTCTAACATCTCTGTTGAAGTGCTGTCAGTTTTTATTTACAGCCTTAATCAGCTACAGTTCCTTTAGGACTCCCTGAAGCAAAAAAAACGTCTAGAACTCATATAACACAGAGGGTGCTGGTTCAGCAAATGTGCTTTTACACAGGGAAATATGTCATTCATCAAACAGACAAGACAGCTGGGACAAGCAGGGAAGAATGTGGAATTTGAGTGAGAGCTTATTCAGAGGAGGATGTGAGTGTTTGGCATCACCAGACACATGAGCACAGCTTGAGATATAAGGGCCGCCGCTGCTGCAAAACAATATATGACAGTGCAATGTTCTTTGAATTTAAGATCATGTTTCTTCAATCATCAGAACTGTGTGTACCTGTTAGTTGATGGGTTCTGTTCCTGTCGACCTGCTGAGTGAGTGGAAGTGTCTCATGTATCTGAGCTGCTGGTAGATGGGCTGAGGGTCAGTATCTTCTCCTTTGGTCCTGGGCTGCTCCATGCACACATTTAAACCTGTATTACTTACAAGAGGAAATGAATGAGCATAAAAAAAGAAATATGTTTTTCTTAAAGGGTAAAAAATACATAAATCGAACAATTATGTTTATCATTCAAATGTATTATGATCAGCAAAACTTTATTTTCTAAGTCTACAAGCATACAGGAAATGAAAACACCACTGACAAGCTGCAACTTTAAACCTTACATAAATGATTGACAGCTGCAACAACCACTAGTATTTTCGTGCATAGTTCTGTCAAAGCAGAAAAACCCAGCCAGCAGATGGCTCGTATAACAACATCCTTACAAAACGACAGGGCGGTGATCACGTTACATGTTGCATAAAACACAATACGGGAAAGTGGCTGTTCCCACTTTGAATATTTTATTAACATTTATTACCATTGTAGCTTTCCAAAACAATAAAAGATGTCAGCATGTCAAAATCGCCTACAGGACAAACCACACAATGTAGGCCTCTTGGTTTCCCATGCTGCACCGTGCAGGGCTGGAGACATGAGGGACAGAGGACGAGGAGTGGTGCAGGTGCTGATGTGAGGCCACGTCTTCTCCGATTTTAAGTCCTGAAAACTTGGTGGTGATGTGTCTGTTCCAACCTGGGGGTCAGGAGGCACCACAAGATAAATTTGAGCGGTTGACAGAAACTGAAAACACTTTTAAGGTACTTGAAACACTTTCCTCCAATCTCCGCTTATCAACAATCACTGAAATATGATTTTGCATCAATTGCAATATAACAAAACTCAGGAGAAAAAATCTGCCTTAAAACTTAAAACAAACAATACTGTGACATTAATCTATAGAAATGATTGGCTTTATCTCAAAGCCCTATCTCAAAAAAACAAGGGAAAGAACTCTTGGTCCCAGCTGGTGGACATACACTGTGAAAGTAGAGGAAGAACAATAAATCTAATATCTCTAAAAATATTGTGCGGGTTTGATTTCAGCAAACGACCGTGCTGTAAGATTGATTCTCCAGCATAAATGCTGTGTTTTTCCATAGTTGATCTTTTAGACGGTTTAATCCACAGTGATCAGTCAGGCTCTGTGGTGTTGTGACACATCTTTTGTCGACAGTGGGATTATTCGATGTTTGATGTTTAACCAGGTTTCCACGCGTGAGAAATTTAACCATTGTCCAGCAACACATTATCAGAACTGTGTTGCACATGGGAAGACAGCTTTGTTAAGTCTGCTGGTCATTTCAATGCAAGGTCTAATCTGTAGTTTTGTCAATTTGTTCCCTTGTTGTTGACAAAAGAGTGAGCGATTACACAGGCCTGGACAGGCCTCAGTGTCTGGAGCCTTCATGGCAGTGGGATACACACAGTGTCTGTTTTCTCTCTGCAGTGAAAACCCGAGTCCTTCGGCTTACGTTTTTGTTTTGTCCCATCATGTTGGTGTCTTGGGGCGAAGCGATTGGTCGGGGGGAACTGTGAGAGCAAAGGTGACATCAGAGCTGGTCTGGGTTCCCATTGAGCAGATCTAGGTCACAGCTGCGTCGGCCTGTGAGTGGTCAAGGACACACAACAAGAGGGGGTGCAGTTAAAAAAAAAACCCCACGCACTCCTCCATCAGTTGATCAGATGCTTTTGTTAGTTAGAACGAGGAGGCACCATCAGCCATAACAAGGTGAGAGGAGGGGGGAGGGGCAGCAGTGAACTCTAACTAGATGAACCCTGTCACCGGGTATGATCGGCACGATGGAGTTGGTTCTTTGCACATCACTGAATTTAAATTATTACACTTAATTCCCAAATCAATCTTCTTGATATAAGAACTCTACAATCATCATTTGATCATTTTGAAAAGAAAGCAAGAAGTGACTGTTAGTTAACAATGCTAGCTCAGAGGTTAGCCTAGATGCTGCTGCAGCATCAGGTACAACAGAACTGGGGAGAATTTATTCATGTAAAGATTCCCTCCATGGAAAATGCACAACTATGAATGCCCAGAACATTTTTTCCAAGGAAGCCTCCTGAGGTGGTTCCATGTAACAAATTCAAACTTATTCATGAGCTTCAATTAGCTTAAAGGACGTTAATGTCATTACTTTTGCAGTAACTTGTTAATAAACGTAAGTATTGGACACGTTTTGGCCTGATGGTGGTGATTGACGAAAACTGAGGGAACCACTGACTCTAATACTTTAATTTAATTCATCTCGATGAAGACGTGAATGTTGAAACCAAATGTAAAGGCACTCTTTCCAATTCCTGTTGAGAGATTTCAGTCTTGACCAAAAGTGCTTTCCCAAAGCTACACGGCTAACATGGCTAGGTAGTGATTGACTTTCAAACAACTGGAGTCGCTCCAGATGGGATTTAAATTAAGTTTAGCTAAAATTGTGGGTTTGGAATAACTCCAATATCCCTAGAAATAGAAGTTGATTGAACAGTCAAGCCATAAAACTGTGAGGTCCTGATTTAAACTGACCTTTTGACTCGACTCCTCTTGCCTCTAAATCAGCCTTCTGTCAAATAATGACTCACAAAAAAAAAAAAAGTAAAGATACCTGGAAAAAAAAAACTGAACAAAAGAAAAAGACACCTGGTAACTATTACTCCCCTGGGAAAGTCTCCTCAATAATTATTTCACCTCAGTCATCAGTGAAATCATCAGTAGGTCATCCTGCAGCCAGACGAACAGACGATCAGTGTGTGACGATCCAGCGGAAGAGTTTTTTTTTGTGCCAGGAAAGATTCGAGATTCAGCAGATGGCCCAGATGTTGTGCATCACCTTCCACTGCCGTGTGTTTCTCATTTTCTGATGTTATATTGGATGAGGAGATTAAGAGCAGAGATAACAAGGGATTTGCCCACCCTCTGTCTGGCACAATAAATCCTCTCACTGGAAGCACACCCTTCAAATTGAAATCTTATCTGTCTCCTCAAGTAAACACTCACTTATGACTTACTTCCCCTCATCCAGATTAGTTTCTGTTGGACACCATGTTGATGAGGCACTTCTTATTTTTCAGTTTCCTGTGAGAAGCACCAGCAGCATCACCTGCAGCTTCTCTGAAACAGTCACTAAAGCAGTTTGTATTTTTGATTTCCACGAACATGCACCTCAGATACATGTTTTCTTTTACTTTACATCAGTTTGTGACGTTCAGGGAACTTCAGGAGGAATTTTTGGATCAACTTTTATCATTTCCTTTCAGATTAACCGAATTCCTCTCAACCTTTTTTTTCTACCGCTGCTGCAGTTATCGATTTCCTACTGACCTTACGGAAAACACAGGTTGCGTGCATTCAATGTATTTTAGACCACTGATGTAAATGCTCATGTCCAAATTGGTCTCGGTGTCTTTTCCCACAGAATATATTCTTTTATCGACACAGTCCAACATCTCTCTGACTTCTTCACTCCAAATGTTTTAGTTTCTACTGAAAATGAATTATCAGCTGCTATTCTCATCATCAGTTAAAGCGTAAAGTCATTTTGCAAACAAAGAAATTAAAAAAAATAAAGTTTAATTGAACAAAATGTCCTAAAGTAGTTTGTCAGAGTAATTTTTTTTTATCAAACTTCACAAAACAGGAGGAAACAGTTCATTTGTTGGGGACTATTTTCTAATCCACATTTGGCGCCCTTGCTAGTTTTAGGGGAAGCACCCGTTGCAAGTTAAGTCTTGCATTCAATGTTTGTTACTTCCTGCTAACACTTTAGTGCCAGGGATGGGAAGAAAGAACTGGAGGAAGGAAGGAATAACAGGAAGGAAAAGATACAACAAACACACAAACAATGGGAGTAGAACAGGGGACAAAGCGAGGGAAGAATAAAAATCAAACAGTTCTGTGTTTAACTGCTGTCCTTGAGTTACTGCACCTGATTGCTTCCATTAAATTAAGGGTCTCGCTCCTCAAACGAAGACGTGAAGTTGGTCTCAAGTTTCTCAGTTAAACCAGCAGTGAAAACGTCTGCACCGCCTTCTGTCTCAGGTTCTTGGTCAGGTTAAAGCACGGTGACCTGACGGGGGTGACGGAGGTGGGTGGGTGGGTGGGTTTGTTGTTTGACTGGAGCCGCTCTTCAGACGCACCGTGTACAGACATGCCCACTGAATACCACTGTCAGATCCCCTGCACCGCGTCTCTCACATCTTGTCATCACTGTAACCAGAAGCTAGATGTGTCCATACTTGTAATGGACGCCCCCCCACATCCTCCTCCACCACCACTAACTCCTTCACGTGTTCCCAGCATGAACCAGCATCTACGAGGCCTTCAGGCTTTTAGGGGGAGTTTCATATCTTATCACCAACTTTCTGCTTTCTCAGCAGAAAGTGACAGACTAATTGTCCTGAGGGGATTTTTTTTCTACCCCTCTTCTTTCTCAGACGTCGTCACACAGTCTCCTGACAGGATTTCCATTGTCTGCTCTGAAATTACGCATGAACACGCAAGCCACAAGACGGTCGTGGTGTCATCTACTCTGAGTGAAAACAACCTCTAATCTCACTGCTGAGCTTCCTCTTACAGCTGAGCCTCAGATTTAAAATAAGTGCATGGAGCTGTTTTACACAGGTTAAGGAAATGGAACAAATCAACCCATATTAACTAGTTTCCTGAAAACCTGCAGACATTTGAGTCTAGTTTATAAATTATAAGCCTCATCATTTTCCAGATTTCTCTTAATGTCCAACACCAAAGGTTTACTAATCTGCAACTGAAAACAACATTCATGAGCTGTATTTAAAGACTCTTCTCCTCGGTAGGGAATCGTAGACAGTAAGTAAAGATAGTTAACACATTTCCTCTTGCTCCCACTCCCCAGAAATGAAGCCAAAGAATCCTGGATATGAATGCTGCCATATTGTACAGAGGACATACTTTGAGTGTATACAGAAGTCCCACCCATACAAGTCAGTCTCAGCTGTCAATCAAGACGTTTCACCCTGTTTTTATCAATATAAGAAATAAAAATAAAAAACGTACGGGAAATAGTGCTGCCAGCCACCAGGGGGCGATCAAACACTTTGGCTTCACTGATTATGCCTGATTTTACTAACAAGATCTATGAATGTTTCCCCGGGATATCAGTGGTTTTACAGATTCGGAGGTAATAACATTTTAGAATATGTTGTTGTTTTTTGTGTTATTTTTGTTGAGTTTTACAATGAACCAAAGTCATGAACTCAGTTTCATGTCGCTGTTGTGTTGTGTTGATAAGAAAAGCAGGAAACGTACCAGATATTGTAGATGGAGCCAAATCTTTTGTTTGGGTTTTAACCTTGAACTTTGATGTGAAGTCTGTTGGGAATCAGTAACATTGAGTGTTTAACTGTGCTGCGGGGTCAGACAGGTCAAACAATCCATTTGACACACCGGCGGGAGGTGTGGGGGGGGGGGGTTTAGTCCTTTAACCACTTTTTTTTTCCTCCATCTCCCTCTTTGAAATGACAGAGGCGGCGCCCGCCTCCTCCCCCTGCGCACCCACCACTTAGAATTAGCCAAAGTTTTACGACCCCCCCCCCCCCACCTGATTGGGATCAGGCAGCGGGCAGCGTCAGTCTCAACTGTCTCGTATGAGGACAGAGGTTTGCTTGTGACCAGGTGATTGACAGCTCAAGTCCCAGGCCTCTCAGTAAAGACCACAGTGAACGTCCTCCCCAGCACCAGCTCATTCTGAAACGACTGAGGCTCGGCAAAGCTGGTAACTGCCACCAAATAAAACCCCTTTTTAAAGACTTTTCACCACTTGATTTGTGGCCAGTGGTGAAGGTTCTGGACAAACCGCGGAACGCCGTACTTCAAAATGGCAGCTCACAAACCAGCGGGTCACGTCAGCGGGTTGATACTGATGCAGCCAAAACAAGGTGTCATGATTTATAAGGTGAACGCATCATTAACTTCTTAATATAATTTAATTATCACAAACAAATAAGCCAAATGTGGTATTTTTTACAAATATCTTTTAGTTGTTTAATGACATGAATATTTAGCATTGAGCTACAATAAGGTTCATCATTTTTTTTGGTTCCCCTGGAAACATGTCTGGAGTCGTTTTTTGAGATTTACAACGTGTGCCGTCCGATTGATGATGTTTCCTCAACTTGCAGGCGTTTTTTCTATTTGCATGTGTTTTCTGAATATGCAGTGCGTTGAGCTCTCTCTGCGACCGCAGGTTCCACTTATCGTACAATAACAAGAGCAACAAGAGGCTGAACAAGAAGCTGTTTGTTTTGGGACGTCTTTAAAATCTCTTGGGAGCTTAGTTTGGAAAACTGTGGGACATGTAGAACCCCCCRCCCCCCCCCCCGACCTTTTAACGTGAGTAAGTGCTGAGAGCGTCAGAATCCGAGCTCTGAAATCTCCTTGAAACAAAGTGAAACCCAGGAGGTGCAGAGGTCGGAGGGGCTGCAAGAGGAGGTGTGTACTGTTTGTTCTGTGATCCAGACCCATCAGTCACGGTGTTTCCGCAGTCTGGAGCACATTCCTCCATTCCTGCTGCGTTTTGTTCCCAATAACCTACAAACGACAACACGAGTCCAGCAGAGCCGAGGGAGGGAGGCTGCTGAACGCACAACAAAAACACAACTCGGACTCAGAGAGACATCCTGCATGTCAGTAGTTTAGATTCTATGGGTCAAGTGTGAAAAATACTACACGTTATTGGTATTATTGACGAGAGAGAGCTGGTGATCAGGAACGAGGTTTATATGACAATAGCAACAGGTTAGCTTTGCAAACTAAATTAGCTAAATTAGCTTGAGTGTGAGATGGTGTACTAGACCAAGGTTTAGCTAACATTAGCAACACGTTATTAGCGTTACAAGCTGAGTTAGCTGAAACAGCTAAGTGAAGGCTGGTGATCATAACCATCTAATGTTAGCAACAAATGTTAGCTGAGGTAGCTCAGTCAGAATCAGGAGCAGGGTATAGCTAACGTTAGCAACACATTATTAGCAGCATAGCTCATAAACACGTTATATTACTTAATTACTTATATTTTTATTTAAAAACTTTATGATACAACTTTGACTTTATGAGATGATGTAACTCTGGGAAGCTTCATCGCTGGAAGTAAATTCTGCACAATATATGGATAAGGTCTTCTCCCACAGGTTGTTGTTAGTGGCAGCGGAAAAGGAAAATCAACAGAATTGTGTGATTTGAGGAGAACACCCAACATGTCCGCTGTAGATGTGGGTTTCTGGTCTGAGTCAGATGATGCACATGGGGCAGCTCTCCTCTGTAATTTGCTTCCGTGGAAATGAGCAGGACCATTTCCTGTGACGGGGGTGTTAACGATAATGAGACACTCTGGGACCGAGCGTCTCCTAAATTGGGGCAAACTACTTGTTTTGGTGACCTGATTATGAGTGTCTGCCTTCATTAACCTCAGAGTTCAAAATAAATTCAAAATGATGCCGGTTCACATCCGCCCCAGGACTTTGCTGTCTAATATTTCTGAGGAGTTTCCCTGTTGTGCCACCAGCAGGTCGACATTTGTTGGAATCTCTCAGCAAGCACTGGATGGACAGAGATGAAATTTAGATCTCCCCCACAGGATATATGTAATTTACAATTTGATTTCTAAGATTGTAAATGTTATACCTGCTGTTATACGCTCACCGACCCTCTGCGCGTCACCATGAACCGATACCAAGCCAAAGATTAACCGAACCACTGTCGTTCCAGGTCTCTGAAAAGTTCCCTGACCTGAAGAAGAGAGGGAAGGCTCCTCACGCTCAGGACTTAGTGAAGGAGACGAGTTTGTCAAACAACACCTCCAACACATGGAACCGACCTCGCTGTGGTGTACCGGACTACCCCGCCCAAAAGGGGGTGCACCATCGGGGACGACACCGCCAGAGACGCTTTGTCCTCTACGGAGGACGTTTGGACAAAACGGACCTCACCTACAGGTACAGATCTGCAACTCATAATCAGTTCTTGACACTGAATACTTGTTACCCTGCGCTGGCAGTAACCAGGGTTATGTTACTGTGCACTCCTTTTCCTCATAAATGGAAAAAAAAAAGGAAATTAAAGTTGGTATTTTCATAACATTCTCTCCAGCTGGTGTGTTTGTCCTGTTCGTCCTGCAGGAAGCAATTTGAGGAAGCAAATGTAAACATAACTACAAAAATGGTTTATATTCGGGGTAATCACAAAATCCTTTCAATAACACACTGAACAAAGTGTTTAGCAGATGAAGAGCAAAGATATTTCCCTCAGGAGTTGGTGGAGACCAAAAACAGAGCTACAACAGACGGATTATTGGACTCAACAGTCGTCAGATGGAATCAAACATGACTTCATAACTGCAGCCACTACAATTGAAAATGTTAAATTAGATCCTGTGTATAAAGCACATATGAAAGTGAAGTCTTGAAATTATGATTCTGACAAAAAGGGGGTGCTGGTTTTCTTTCATCTGAGGCCTTGGCACCATCGAGCGTCTGGTGGCTGCTGCCTCTCTGTCTGTGTCTCCCGGGGGTCCCTTTCATTGTAGCCATTCTTTAACTAAACAGTATATTAAGACAAGCAGAGGGTGAGAGAGGGAGAGAGGGGGAGGCAGACTAATAAGATTCTGCTGCTTTGGACCAATAAAACGCTGACAACGGTGACACCTGACAGAGTGATGCGGTCAAACGTGATCATGGCAACAACCCACAAAGTCAGAGGAGATTCTGCAGGACCCGACAGAGCCACCTCAGCATCTGTGGCCTTTCAGCAGCTGAAATATGAGCGTTGACAGAGCGGAGCCGCGCTAATGATTCCCTGTGTTTACCTTTTTATTTAGAATCAGCCAGGATTTTGTGCTTAGGAAGCAAGTTTGGGCATGACACCCGAAGTCATGCTGGGTCAGCTGAGAGCGGTGTTGTTGTAACTGATTTAACGGCTGTTAGCGAAACTGAAAAGGGGCTCTCAGGTGGTCACAACACGTTAAAGGCCTGAGCTTGTCGTGGTGTCGGCTCAGGAGAGGGACGGCCGCATCGAAGGTCATGTGTTTCCAGATATCTTCAAATATACAACCTCATTCTTTATTTATTTACCTCAATCATATAAGTCAATCATTAACTTTAAGATGTGGTCGTGAAATAAGTCTGGTGATAATATATATATTTTTTTTTTTTTACAGTGAACAAATCGCATGAAAAGAAAAAAGAAAGTGATGTTTGTATAATCAGCCTGATATTTGTTATTAACTGAGTCATCAAGCTCTTGTGTTGTTCATATAATTAAAACAAATCAGAGAGTCTCACTGTTACACTGACATGTTCCTTCATCACCATTAACACACACACACACACACACACACACACACACACACACACACACACCAAATGTAGATTAATCCGCCACTGAAAATAGTCCCAGACTCCCAACAAATGCACTATTTCCTCTTGTTTTTTTGATTAAAAGCTATGGAGACAAGTGAAGCATTAAATTCTTCTAAAAAAAAAGGAACCAAGACCAATTTGTACATTTGGCTGAATACACACATGTTTTCAGTAAGAGCAGTAGGAAATCGATAACTGCAGCAGAAGTAGGAAAAAAAAGTTCAGAGGAATTTGTTTTAATCTGAAAGGAAATTATAAAAGTTGATGCAAAAATTCCTCCTGTAGTTCTGTGAACATCACAGACTGATGTAAACTGAAAAATAAAAAAGCGTCTGAGGTGCATGTACGTGTAAATCAAAACTACAAACTGGTTTGTTTCAAAGAAACAGCAGGTGATGCTGCTGGTGCAGATACAACATCTGCATTTCCCTCAAATAAAACCTGGTGTGTTTAGTTATTGAAAGCTCAGCCACGTGTTTCTGAAGAGTCATATTCAACAAAGTATTTCATCTTTAATCTGGAGGGTATTTGTGCAATAAGTGATAAGCTGGAGGATTTCAAGCTATGTGAACTTTGCACTGAGAAAAGTCCCTTTGTGCAAACTTCAACGCAAATATTTGCACCGTTGCAGGAATCTCTTCTCTCAGTGTTTGCACAAGAACACGCTGTTGATCGAACAAATTATTTTTAATACCATGTTTTTCCTTTGCCATGTGTTTTAAATGTTCAAATCTTTCAGAAATGTTCCATGACTCTGCTCCACCTCTCTTGAATGATACATTCCAATGGTATTCATATATCAAATGTTACTCTAAATTAAGACCACATTTCCCATAAGCCCTGCTGTTTGTTGTCCCTCTTGACCCTCGTTGCATAAAGACAGAGCTGATCCCGGCCTCAGGTAAAGCTCTCGTGCTCTGGACTGACATGCCCTGAATTCTGCTTTGTGCCATAAAATGATGCAGCGGTTTTCTTTCCTTCTTTTGAGCGTAGAGGCCACAAGAGGCCAAAAGCCATTTCCTGTTTGTCCACACAGCAAATATACGTCTCAACTCCACAGAATAGATCACGTCAGGACGCTGGCTGACTCCATCATGAAGCAAACTTAGGAAATTAGTCAAGAAATGAAAAGGAGATGCTCACACATAACTCATCGACGACTGTGATACTTTACACCGAGGAGATTTTCATTTCCATCTATTTGTTTGTTTGAGTTAGAGGCATTACGCAAAAACGAAGGAAGGATTTCCACATTACTTGGTGGAAGGATTCAGTGTGTGTAATTGAGTGCAGCTTGATTAAATTTAAAGAGGTATGAGCTGTTCTGAGTGACATTCAAGTTTTATTAAATCATCCTTACACAACCATTAAAATGCTGCTGCTCTGCTCTCATGATCCTACATGTCCAGACTCCACAGGGTATCATGGACCTTCTGCACCCTCTCCACCCAGGACTTTAGCTCCAGATTACTCCAAACAGGTTTTAATAGCCTCTGAGGGTCAATCTGTCCAGTCGCTCGCCCTCTAAGCTTTGGAATTGTCTCACAATAAGCTTAAGACGTTTGGACACTTTTGACAAGTAGTTAAAAACCATTTGTTGAGACATTTAGGTCAAATGTAGAACTTTATGTTTTATGTCTCCTTATTTTATCTGACTGTTTTTGACTTGATCACTGTGAAGTTGAAGCAGTTTGTAACTATAGTGTCTGTGAAAGCCGCCTCATTAACAAACACTTGCTTTGTTCGTTCAGACTCAGACCTCAAGATGAGCCGGGTTCATTCATCAATAATCTGCTCTTGTGCTGAATTAACAGAGAGCTTGAGGTTAACACATATTTTTGGAGTCAGGACATGTTTAACCCAACTCAGCAGAAAGTGTGGAAACAAGGGGAGCAGCTTGAGTCTAAAGTTCAGAAATACAATGAAATCCCCCTGATGAACAAGCTTATCTGTGTTTTTGAATCTGTATGCAGCTGGTTTATCGGGAGTTTGGTAACTGTGCCGCAGACTTTTATTTTTGTGCAGTGGGGTTTCCAGGTTTGGTAGCACTGTGCCAAAACCCAAACCTGCATTTACCAGTAGCAGCTGGCAACATGTGCAATAGACGTGAACGCTGCACGATTAAACACGTCAGGACAGATTCACACTTTACCCACAAGAGAGGTTTCAGTTTTCATCAGCATTTTTCTCAAAATGCTGAACTGTCCCTTTAGCTGTTTGGCTCACGTCAAGGAGACATGGCTGTTATTTAAAGCAACAGTTTGGGAAATTATACCTATATAACTGTTCAAATAAAACTCCAATCATTTTTAAAGCTCTATAATTAACGCATTATTCTTATTCAATTAAAAAATATTGCACGTCTGGAAAATGCTGTCTTCACACTTTGGATTTTACGCAGATCAAAGATTATTTGTGCTGATTTGGTTTCTTAGCTCGGTTCTAGACTTTGTGCTAAGCTAAGCTCATAGAATGCAGCCTGTAGCTTCAAACCGACGTGAGGCGTGCGAGTGTCGAGGTTGAACTTGCGGCCCTTCTGCAACATTTTCATCTCATTCTACAAAGTCAGTCAAATTCCATTTTAATTAACAGCTGAACATGTCGCCCTGTCATGTCGGCTGACGATGATTTATTCCAAACTGACGTGGGAGGATTTATTCTCATTTTACTCGAGCATCAACTCATTTGATTTGATGCCAAATGTACCCGATGCTCTATATCATAATATAACGACGTGTTTATGTGCAGTTGGTAAGATGAGGAGGTTTCTCCTCTTCTCTCAGTTATCACGCTGGGTGGTTTAATCTCAGAGGAAACGGGAGGAGACGATGCAGGCTTTTGTTAGCGAGCCTGAGGGCCTGAGTAACAGCTCACCTCCCCGCTGACGAGGCGGCTGCAGATATCAGATTAGAGGGAGGTGTGCGAGGCCGGTGGTCCCATTCTGCCGCCGCTGCTGCTGTACATCCTGTGTGCAGTGTGTGTGTGTGTGCAATATGTGTGTGTGTGTGTTTGACACCTGCACCAACTTCCTCTGCAGGATCGTCAGGTTTCCGTGGCAGATGGGCGAGGAGAAGGTTCGACGCGTCTTCCGGGAAGCGCTGCAAATCTGGAGTGACGTCACCCCGCTCACCTTCACGGAGATCCACAGCGGGAAGGCCGACATCCGCATCGACTTCACCAGGTGAGAGGACAAAAAGAAGTGGAAATGAAAAGGAGCCTGAACTTAACAGGACGTAGAGAAAACATTGATGAGATGCTCAAACAGGATCTATTTCATAAAAGTACTAATAGTTATTATAAAATTAAAGTCAAAGTATGAAACACCTTCACTTACCTAGTATGAAATTGGTATCATCACTGTTTTCATAAACCTACGATACAGAGCGACATGTTTATGATTTGATATCATCTCAGTCTCCTGCTCTCAGCTCTTGTTTCTTTTTCTCGCTGACGATGAACAGACGTGCTTCTTTCTTTTTGTGGATTTCTCTCGTCTGTAGTCGCCACAAACGACCACGAGCTTCTCCGTCACCTGAGGCAAACACAGTGGAGTGTTTTTAATCGACTGTGTTTATGAGCTGGCAGAATCAGATTGGATCAAATCTGATTTGGACAAAGATCTTTGCCCCAAAGATACAAACAAGAGATAGTCGAGCAACAAAGAGCAGAAAACAAACTCCACAGTTTCATCCGAGTCGTCTTTGAAATGATATAATTGTCTTTTATGTTGCCTGGTTTGTTTGTTCCTGCAGCGATTTCGTGATTTTGATTTGTGCTTCATTGTTCGTTGTGTCACAGCAGCCTTTGTTTGCCCTCCAGCAGCAAGACTCTAAAATATGACTAAAAAAGAAATGATCATCTTTGAGTTTTCAGTTGTTGATTGGTCAAAACAAGTTATTAAATATTTCAACTTCAGTTCAGGTTTTTTTACACATTGAAAATGTTTTAAATGTTTGATTTCAAACCTGAGCGTTTGTTTTACGAACTTGTAGGTACTGGCACGGAGACAACCTTCCGTTTGACGGCCCGGGTGGGATCCTCGCTCACGCTTTCTTCCCCAGAACACACCGACAGGGGGACGTTCACTTCGACTATGATGAGTCCTGGACGCTTGGGAACCACATGGGTGAGTGAGACACTGACAAAATACAGACATTTCTTTTTACTTTAATGCTTCTGGTAGAACAGACAGAATAAAAACGCATCCATCAAATTCTAAAATCTCCAAACCCTGAAGTGATTTTTAAATATTTTCGTGAAGATGTTTCTCTCGCTGCATCATCTCAGGCCGCTACAAGAACTTTCACACAGTGTTTGAAGCAGCTGAGGTTTGTCTGTCTCCTCTGCTGCAGGCACAGACCTTCTGCAGGTCGCTGCCCATGAGTTTGGGCACGTCCTGGGCCTGCAGCACTCCCGCGAACCAGGAGCCATCATGTCCGCATACTACACCTTCTCCTACCCGCTGAGGCTGAGCGAGGACGACAAGCAGGGCATCCAGTATCTGTACGGAACTCACCCACAAGTCCTGCCCTCGCCGCCTCCGCCGCCGCCGCCGCCGCCCCCACCTCCGTCCAACCCAGAGACCAACGAGATCCTCACTGATGTGAGTTTAACTGATGAAGGTTTAAAGGAAACTAAGGACAGGATGTGGTTTATCGTAGGAAAATACATGATACATGTGAGATCGATTCATTTTCATGGGATTCACTGACAAGGGGTGAAATATAGAAACCATCTGTCTCTGTTCGAATGTCTATGAAACTTCTCCGCATCGTAACAAAGTGTATTTCTGAACCGTGGATGATAAACGAGGGTCAAAGATTAGAGTCAGCGAAGACCGGCTCCGCTTCAGATCAGCTTCTCCTGTAAAACTTGCAACTGAGAGTTTTTACACTAAAATAAATCCCTGAAATTCTTTGTGATGGTTTTGCGGTGAAAGTCGTCTTCAGCTGGAATTCAAGCACAAAACTCTGCTCTGATTTACCTTCGGGCAGTAAAACGCCTCTTTATCACTTCATCTCGCTGCAGTAAAAATCCCTGTCGTTGGAAACACTGCGTTTGTGTGCGTGGCTTCATGTGGAGAGGAATGAATGATGTGTCTCCTCTGCAGCCCGACGCCTGCCAGACGGACTTTGATGCCGTGTCAATGATCCGAGGGGAGCTGTTCTTCTTTAAGTCGGGCTACGTGTGGCGGATCAGGGACGGGCATCTGGAGAGCGGTTACCCGGCGCTGGCGTCCCGTCACTGGAGGGGGATTCCCGACAACATCGACGCAGCCTTTGAAGACAAGTCAGGGAATATTTGGTTCTTTCAAGGTGAGCTTGAGCTGCTGTCGTGTGGTTTGAGATTTCATGTGAGGACACGGAGAAGTAGCAGAAAGTGGGATATGGGTTCAGGAAAGTTTTAAGATGAGGTGTTAAAATGTTTTCATTAGTGAGAATTCGTTTAAATGTCTCGTGGTCTCACGGATCGACCTTGTTCTTTGAGGGATTTGCCAAGATTTAATATTCATTTGTCTGAGTCACAAGTTAACAGCTCATTAAACCAGGTGACATGAGGTTAATGCCCCGTGATGAAATTACACCGATTTGATGAATATAAATAAATAAGGATTAATCAAATGTTGACAGACACGAGGATTATTGGATGAAGCTGCACACACTGATAATAGATAAATATAAAAGACTGTTTATTGCAACGCACTGCAAACAGAGACTTACTGTATTATTATGATGTGACGATGGACGGTTGAGGGATCAAACCTGTGACTGTTTGGTTCGGTGTCATCTTTGTCCGCTGAGCTGCTCTGACGCTGCCGCTGGACAGACTGAAACAAACCACGAGTGGGGGTCAGGTCACCGAGGTTTCACGTCACATGTCTTCAGCTCCAACAGAATAAAATCTTTTAGTGACAGACAGAAAAAGACATTTACCAACAAGTGTCTTCGGTGTTTGTCCTTCCGCAGGTGAGAACTACTGGGTGTTCGATGCCGAGATGCAGATCAGAGGGCCGGAGTCCATCCGCAGCTTGGGTCTGTCGGTGTCCGGGATCCAGGCGGCGCTGCGCTGGGGCCACGACTCCAACTACAACACCTACTTCTTCAAGTCAGGCAGCTACTGGAGGTTCAGCCKCCGAGAGAACCGGGTGGAGTCCGTCTACCCGCGCAGCATGCAGGAGTGGAGCGGCATCCCCGACGACGTGGACGCAGCTTTCAGGGACGTCTACGGTAAGATCCAAAAAACAAGAGAGCAAAGTTAAAAGCTTATCTAGGTTGTTGAGACT